TCTACAGCGTCGGTGGCATCCCTTACTGACTTAAACTGCCGAGTGTGCAGTGTCAGGATCGCATCAGTGGCCTTTTGAGCCTCCTGCGGATCATGCCACCTGTCTTCCACCATTTTCAGGAAGTCCTCCAATTTTTGAGAGGCTGCCCAAGAGCGGAAGTCATGACCGCACCCCTGGAGTTGCACTAACCCACTCAACCATCTCGCTGCACTACCCTCCAGGTAGGAAGCAGCCACAAGCACTTCTTTGTGTGGCAAGGTGAGTTTACACTTGACATAGACCGACACTGCCCTCAACCATGTGTCGAGATCTTCACCTCTCTTGTCCCCTGTAAAGGGTTTGGGAGCGGCGATGGCCGTCTTTGGAACCCATTGACTTTGTTCCGGTCCCTGCACCAACCTGGGTTGTGGACCCGGCGGTACAGGTTGTTGTGCTAACTGTTGGGGCTGTGTGCCCTGAGGTTGCACTGACTGTGAGACAGCAGGTTGTGTGGTGACTGCAACCTGTGACGGACTTGGAGTAAACACTGTCTGAACAGGAACCTGCAAACTACTCCCTGTTGTTACCCCTCCTGACAGAGGCATGCCCAAGGAAACGATAGCAACCGATGAAGGGGCTACATATGGGGATACCCCAGTCACCGGTGGAACCGAAAGAGGAGGATATGGCACGGGCCAGGCACCAGGCCCTTCTGGTGATGGTGCTGCCTGAGCACGACCTGCCAACACGGCTAGGCTTTGTTGAATGTCCTGAAGGAGGGTAGTTTGATTCTCCTGCATCTCAATTACGCCTAGCAGGGCCCTCCTAACTACCTTCACATCTTCATCCATATGTGTCAAGTCCATCATCTCTAACTCCTCTATGTCTGCCCCTCTCAGTCGCATCCTGGCTCTTCTTCTAATCATTATCTCTTTCTCCCTTTTTATCTTTCCTAATGCCTGTTGTAGTTGTGCCTCTTGCAGGGCTGCCTGCTGGATGGCGATATCCTCTAGGGACAACACCGCGGGCTGACTTGCCATTAAGCCAGTGGACTGACTCACGGTCTGCACGACCGTGGACCCGGCGGTACCTGAACTTCCGACTTGGGAAGTCTGCTGCGCAGACGTGCTCATTGTTGTGGTAGCCATGGATGCTATAGCACTGGCCTCGCTAGCAAATGCCCTGCTGGCCTCGGCTGCTCTAGCTCTCCTTTCCCTTTGTCGRCGGAACAGTTCCCTATCACCCTCCGGTCCTAAAGACACATGGGATACCGGTCCTCTAACCGATCGTAAGGTTCTGCGGTCGTCCTCTCCAGTGTCTTCCACGTCGCTCATAGGCTACAGCACTGTGCACTGTCCACACTAGGTCATTCTAGATGCCTACCACAGCATAGTACACAGACCAACTAATTAGTGGTGGCTATCAGAACAGATCTCATTTAGGGTCAACAGGTAAGTAAGGTTCCTATTGTCAATACTATTTTTAGCAAGATTAGTTCCCAAACAGAGAGAACATCAGGAATAGATTATATTCTAAACTAATGCTATCTGTCAAATGTCACATGGCTGTCCATCTAACTAATCAATAATAAAAATAATGTTGACTGACCGAGTCTGTTCACAGTTTGGAATTTCAACCCGAACTTATCATCTGAAATCTACCCCTCCCTTTGTTCTTCCCAATGTCACGGTGTCACGTTTCTTTGCATCAGAAGCCAAGCGTGTCTCAA